ATTCTCCTTTGAGGTAGCTTTTGGGAGTGAGTTAGGCCCATACTTCTAATAGAAAGTTTCTCATAAATTTATGAGTCCTTAATTTGATATCGAAATTTCTTCTTCAATCAATTTCTTAGTAAAGTGCCCTGTTTTCTCTGTAATTTACTCAGACAACTGTCTATTAGATCACATGCTTTTACGGCTAGATGATTACGACATCAGTCTTGGTCTGCTTGGGTGAGCTCTAGTATTGTGTTGAGTTTGAATAAGAGCATTTTGGGTTATGAACAAGAGTAATGATCCAGTGTATATCCTCATGAGTTAAGGCTTGTTCAGTTCTCGTAAACTTGAATTGATTAAGTTCGGATGTAACTTGGATTTTAGTCGCATAACCGTATAGAGTAAATAGTATGCAATTAGATTGTATTTGTAACTTGTAAAAATTATTTCCTTTTTGTTGTGTTTGATTATAAGCATGTATGCATTGGCCTTAGAATGATTTGGAAACATTTAGCATCGTCTTAATTCGAATCGTATGAAATTCATTCGTATAGCATAGTAATGTGTATCAAGTTGGTATCATCATGTGGTTGCATGATTAATTACCTAAAACTGTATACCAAAGAGTTTAGATCGTGCATTGTTTTTTCCTCTTAAGGTTTTAGAAATTACATAAACCAGATAATGTATTGCTCTGAGACCAGATTACAGTTGTTCAATCATCCGCGCCTCTGGCTTCATTGCTTCTGTTTATGCGGTTGAACATCTCAACAACCTGAAAATATGCAGCAGTAATTGAAAATTAGAAACCATAGTCTTGTCTTTCCAGTATTGCATCCACATGACTGTAGTTAGGGTGAAGAGACTTCACCTTGACAGATGATGTTGCTTCCTCTGGCTTCTTGTCTGCCCGTACACGGACTAAACGAGGTAAATCGAGACAGATTCCCTTTTAACCAAACAAAACTTGTAATCAGTAACCATTTCCGAAATAGTTCAATGGTTCATAATAAGAATCATCAGGTAGATTCAAACTAAAACGAATCAAGTCAGATAATGTCAAACCTTATCAGGGTCGACAATTCCGATAGCTGCACGTTGAAAAGGGCATATCCTCATGTGTATTGCTTTCACTTCCCAGACCTTTAAGCATGCATTTTGATTAGATTTGCATCTAAACACTTTTTACCCATAAGATAAGACAAGGCAAACATAATCCTACCTCAGTGGGCTCGAACCAAACATCTGGCTTGAGACGGTCATCAACTTGGTAGTTTTGGTGCAACAATATTTAAATCATTACCATCCACAACAACTCAGGCAAGAAAACATTTATGTATGGCCGGAGATAAGAAAGAAATATCTTACTTGTGGAATACTAATCACTTTAGAGCGAAGACTCGTAGACCGCTCTTCAAGCAAGGCTTCAGAAAATCCAGCAGTAGCTAGTACTAGTAGGCCAATCCGTAAAACCAATGTATAAGAAACTGAGCATCAGGACATATAGAAAAATGAAACCTCAAGACTGACCTGTACAAACGCTCTGGAATTCCTTTTTCTCAACATCGTAGCACGCAAGTAAAAATCCACGATAGGAACCTGTAAATCAGGGCAAATCATAAAGCTTCCGTTAACAACACCTCGTAAAATGTATCACCAAAATATGATTTTAAACGGTTTTCACCTGTGGGCTTGTGAAAATAATGGAAAACAGCAATTGGTACAAGATCCATAGATTCCACACCATAAACATTAATGCTGCATATAACCCTCGAGTCAGGTCAGCTAAGGACTCTTTGATTTTAAACTTTCTTTAACAAATATGTTTTAAAGAGTATCTATATAATACCAGCCCAAAGGTTCTCTCGTCAAAATTAGCCTTTTTTGTTTTTCAGGCGGCTCCAAGAATGCATCTGAGTTTAATGTTTTGATGATTATACCTTCACAGCTGGAAAATAACAATAGTGGATGGAAAATTCTGCAAGTAAAAGAGGCTACTACAGAGAGGATGCTAGGCAAGTGTTAGATATATACCCATAGTCAACAGAAGCTTGAAAAAACCTCTGTATTTCATCAGCATTTCTAGATGTTAGAGTAGTTGTAAACTTGAAATATCTAGGATCTTCCTCAAATGAATCGTATAGCTTCTGCTAGAAGGCAAGGAGCAAACAAACGATTACGTATTTCCGCAGAAATTGCTTCGCCGATACCAAGGAAAAGGAAAACCTTTCTATGAGTTACTGATATGGCTCACCTCTCGGCGAATATTAAGGCTCTCCTGGATAAGTAATTGGCCATTTAGATATAACATGTCAAAAGCAAAGATGCATACGTCAAACTTGGGATCAGGGACTTTCACGTTTTGAGTGGCTTGAGTTCTCAAATTCTTGCGAATCTGGAAGATGGAAAAAAACAAGGAATTTAAGAACCTAGCAAGTAATAAGTCAAATATTTAAAAAAAAAAAAATAGCTAGCTTCAATTCAAGTAAACTTGATGAGTACAAAGTTACCTGATCCAACGGAATAATTTTCATTCCGGCAATGTCGAAAGGGACAATCACGCAATCCAGAATACAAGATTTCAGGGAGGGCTTCGATTCTTTAATCTGCATATATAGAGAAGGATTCAGTTGAAAGATTGGCTCTTTAAAGTGTTCTCAACAAGTTACACCAGAAGTCTACGTACCTTGATAAAATATCGGTGAACATGACGGCTTTTCTTTCAGCGCCTCTACAGAATATCTCGTATGCACCATCCTCCATGTAATGTATCTGCGGTAGGCAATTGATTGATGATAAGCCAAAGCATAACATCATAAATAGCATTCATTGGAATTTAAGTAGACACAGATATCTGACCTCTGCATGTTGTCCATCATATTTGAATTCGCATGTGAAAGATGTGTCCTTGAATATTTCCACAATCTCGCCCACACTTTTGACTGGATATTCATGTTGCAGGCGTTGAGAAGATTCCAAACACCACCAGTTAGAAGGGCACGGACAATAATGTCAAAGACAGGAAGCAGAGAGAATACTTTCCATACAATGTTCCCAGCCTACAAGGACAGAGCACAAGGATGAATCCAGGAAAGAGAGGAATGGATTTTGATATAAAAAAATGGAAAAGAGAGAGCAAACCTCTTTGAAAGGATCCTCGATATATGCGGGTGGCTTTGAGTGCTCTTCATTATATACAGCGGCATGTCCCAAGGTAGTTAGGACAGAGAAACGTGAGAAGCCTAACCCCAAATCGCTCTGCGCGCATTAGGGAGAATTAACAAGGGTCCGGAAGGAATGAGCAATAGTGAAGACTGATCTGCATACCAGAAGTAGACGAGTTAAGAACTCAGCTTCGCAGTCTGTTGTTGCCAGAAGATGTGAAGTCAATTGATCATTCATCGTGACTCTGCCACCTTCTGCTGTTTCCTGCGATAATAAGGTTGATCGATAACCAGTCGAGCATTAGAAAATCAGGAAACAATAAAGGGTTTTAGATTACCTTAGCAATTTGTTTCAATGTGTTGAAAACCTTGACAATAGTCAGTGGTTCGGAATTTGACTCCTTGGTCTGAGCGCATTCTTTAGCTAGAATCCCCAAGCAATGCAGTTTCGGTAGATGGAGAAGCGATATATAGTAATCAACAAAAACACCTTCCGGTTCCACCAAACAAACACATACAAAGATCAACGTACCTTAAGCCGCTCATGTACAGTCTCCACATCAACACCAGAAATTTCGGAGACTACTTTGATCAAGAAAGCAACATCAATTCTCAATTTTGCATCTTCATGAATCTCATCCGAAGCAAGATAAACAGTAGCCAGCAAATATTTCTCCGCTTTCTTCCACCAAGACACTTGTTCGGGATCGAACTCACTTGGATCCAGCTTCTCCAGTGATTTAATTTTGCTTTTCCACTTCTCAATAAGGGTTAGGTCTAGGGTTTCCCTCGCTTTCCTCTTCTTCGACGAAGACATGGACAAGCAACCAACGAGGGAGACGGAGAAAATCAAATGGATTCAAG